TGAAAATGCACTGTATGGTTAGGGCAGTATCTTATTTTCAGCAACCAAGTGCTGACAACCAGAAATAAATCTGAAATCATAAAGATACTAAAATAATATTCTGTAGAGGGAATACTTTTAATCTTTTGAGTACATTGTTTACTGATTGTTCAGTGTTATTTTTTTCTGGATGGGTGCTCAGAACTTTTTCAGCCATGCTGCTCATTATATCATGGGATAGCAGAAGCCTAAAATTACATTCGATATTCTTAGTTCCAACTCGGCACGATTTCTCAGCTGAGCAGATAATTGGCTGAGATCTGGCCTACAACACTGGCTGAATCATAAGCCCTGGGTTTGTCACATGTCCTAGCCATTCATATTTCCCCCAGGACTCCTTAAGGCCCTAAACACATATGCACGTATGCAAGTTACTCCTAAAACTTCCAGTAGGCTCAACAGATTGCATGGACAATCAGTCCGTAAAAATGGCATAGTTAACATCTTCTGGGGAGTAGAGCTGACTGCAGTATAAAACTAAAGAATCTGAAGCTGAAAGCTGGGAGTTTAAAGGCAATACTCCTTGGATGTTTGGACCTTTTGAAGATTTTGACTTTCTCTTTCTTGTTGCCATTGCTCATTTTTGAAAGTGCCAACATGTGAAAACAGCAGAGTCTTGCTTCAGATCTGTAACATTTCAAAGAAACAGTATTTTCTATTCTGAAAACTTTTACTCTAAACAGAGGACAACAAAAAGAGCAAAAAACTTTAAGGGCTACGGTGGAAAGGAGCTTCTTTGTAGTATTTGTATGGCACTGAGCCAAGCAACTTCAAAAAGAATGTACGGCAAAGCCCAGTCTTGGTACTATGAGCTGTGTGTGCTCCATGTCTCTGTTTGGAACCTATGAGCCTGAAGTCCATCTGCAAGTTCCAGCGATGTGCTAAGGAAGTTCTACTAAGAGGACCGTAGCTAGCTAAGACCAAACAGTGTGCTTGGTTCCAAAATAATGACAGAAGAAATAGATCCTATTTGCTATGGAATCATGTATGGCATCCCAGTGGAGGTGGGATACATACCAGTTATAAGTAATGAGTTCTTTATTTGGGTATGCTTTCAAAAAAAAGGAAATTGGTCTAGTACCTTGAACAACAAAAAAACTCTCATTGGAAGATCATTTCCCTTTCTTGGCCCCACATTAAGAACCTAGATAAGAGATGGCTTTAGAGACACAGTGGGGCTGTGATTGCAGGGACTGAAATTTGGACTGGAATTCTGGATTACTGGCCACGACATCCAGGGGCAAGAAGTGGAAGTGAGTATTATCTACCTCTATGGGCTGCCGGGAGGATTAAATGAGGAGAGATCTGAGAAAGTGCCGAGCACAATGCTGGACTCCACGCGTGTTATCGTCTTTGTCTTCAATATACTCAGGCAAATTGTCATGTACCTCTGCTTTCCCTTCATTGGAGACATCAAATTTAGACTTGAGAGATTTGCAAAAAGTGAATTCATTTCATAAGTTAGTTTTGTTGTTTAAGGTCAGGATTGAATGTCGTCCTTTTACTATAAGTACACATGCTTTGGTGGACTCTGCTTTCACCACGAAATATTCTATTTAATAATGTGATATTTTAAAGGATAGGGCTGCCTTATGAACCTTAGACTTTTACATAGTTCTGCTGCATAATGATAATCTTTAAAAATGAAGCTTACCTGATTTCGGTGGAGGAATACATTTTCCCTAACTTATTTTATATGATTTTTTAAAAAAAAAGCATTTGAAAATTAATTTTGAGTTAAAGTAAGATCTGCCACATAAAACCCAGCCTTGGTCTGTCAACCCCCTTTGGTACAAATGAGCAGTCACTTTTATGAAAGACGGAGTCTCTGGGGGACTCAGTGATTTTTGCCTGCCTTGGCATCACAGCTTCTGCCCCACCGTCTGGGGCAACTGGCTCTGCTTACATTGTTCTCCACTCTCTCTAAGCCCTTTCCATGCTGCAGGCTTTTGACTGAGGACTTAGTTTGCCAACTGTGTTTGCTGCCCAGAAGGATATGGAGGGGAAAATGCTTTCAGATTAGTGACATCGCTGACCCAGGAAAAATCACCCTAGGATTCTGGAGCAAACCTAAGAGGGCAGAAAGTTTCCTCGTTCTATTTTCAGATGATTCCATTGTTCTTGCACGGCTTCCAAATCCTAACAGTTCAGTCCAAATGACAACTATTATGGTTAGGCCAAAAAGAAACAGGAGATTAATTTGCAAACATCACACCTAGTGCAGGATTGATGCGTTGTACCTGAGTTTCCTTTTAAGTGTGCTACTTGTTTATTTTTTCCATCAAAATCTCTTTGTTTCCCAGAATAAGCATACAACTTGGGAATTATTAATATTATATCAATTATAACAAATGAATATTCAGAACTTACAGTAATTAACATCTCAAATTATCTTTGGTGGAAGCATTCATGCTTCCCCTTTGGGAAAGAACAGCTTTTAAAAATATTTGATAATTAATAAAAAGTAATCATATCCTCAAAATCATTGAATTACTCAATTTAATCCAAGAGCTGTCTTACATTTGTATAAATGGATTGGCAGTCATGTGCCTTTAAAGTTTCTTTGAGGATGTGTTGAAGTGGGTAAAAAAAAATCTCCTAGATGAAAAACCTACATGTTCCTTTCCCACTCAAGTAGAGTTTATAAAATACATACTTTTTTCATATAAGTAAAAAAATGGTTATCCTTTTAAAAGCAAATCATTAGGCCTTCATATAGTTTAATGCTTTCTTCTGAAAACATGAAAAATAGTAATTCAATAAAAATACAAGTTTGGTTTGAAAAATGTTAAGAATAAAATATCTTCAATCATCTTCAATAGGAAGTAAGTTGAAATTTTCCCCATACTCAAACAACATGGGGAAAGCAATCCCCCGACATAAGGAAACAGTTATTCTGGAAAGTGTACCAAAATGTGAAAATGATTCTATGGTTTATTTGTATTTTCATTATATCCATGATATCACCTGCCAGGAAAGCAGACTGGGTGAATTCCCAGGTGGATGGGCAGACCCTACTGCTCCTTCTGCTCCAACTCCCATATAAGAGCAAGAAGGGTAAGTTACTTGACCTCCAGCTGACTCTGGAGTGAACGCCGTACCCAGTGAACATCTTGGGTTAAGAAGATTCTCTGAAAGGCTTGAAGTGGGGGTTTAGAGACATTTTCAATGACCGGAGGGATGTACAGCTGTCATGGAAGGCTTTCCACTGCTTTCCAGGTGAAATCGAGACTCCCGAACCAAGGCGCATACTGTTGACTCTTAAACCCCTTCACTACTCTACCCCTTTCTCACTTCCCAGGAGCCATGGGATGTCTTCAGTTCCTAGAAAACTTCATGTTCTTGCTCACGTGAGTCCCCTTGCACGTTCTGGTCTTTCTGTCCCAAAGCCCTTTCCCTCCATCTTTGCTTGACCAACTCTTCCTCATGCTTCTGAGCTCAGCTCCTTACCTGTCTCCTCACCACCCCCAAAATTAAGATTTCCCTTGTTCTATCTTCAAGTTCTCTGTTCTTTTCCTTCCTAGGGCTAATGCAAGTTGAAATTATTGGTAAGCTTCTTTACTGGCTTTCTGTTCTCCACCAGACTGTGTGTTCCTTACAAGCAGGGATCATGTCTGTTTTGTTCACGAGTGTATAGCTAGAATTTAAAGAGCGCACTGTAGGTGCTCCATAAATATGTGCCAATGAATGGATGAAGGCAAAAAATCTTTCAAATCTGTAAACTAAAAGATCAAATCACATTTTCAGGAAATTAACTAATAATCATAACTGCCACTGATTATAGTCCCCAAATTTTCTTTTATTCTTCAGAATAATTTAGTTCAGCTAACATTATTTCAGGCAGTAAATTAGAAAAAAAGCTTCAACTTAAGAAAGAAAAAGCTCACTAAAAGAAGTTTAGGTTTCTAAATCTGTGACAAAAGTAAATTATGTTTACTGAGAGTTCATAGTTCTGTAATTTAGGAAAATCTGTATTTAGGAAGTCAAAGAATATTTTAAATGAAACTAATCACAAATTATAAAAAGACAGTGAGTTTTTTGTGATGCTTTTCAATTTTTAACAGTAAAATAATTGCTAAAAGGGACAACAAATGGAAAAACGAAAAAATAAATGAATAATATGGAATAGTATTAAAATTCTGAATTTAGTATATGAAAACTAAGTTATATTGAAACAACACTTTAGCTATAGCTCTTCTCTGCCTTCTGTACCTCAAACAATACACAAAAGTTAACTGACTTAAGTCAGAAAACCAGTAATAGTTTGCTTTTAAATAGTGCCTTTCAGCTCAGATTCTGAATGAATATTCTTCAAAGGCATCCCTCTGTTTTATTAAACGAGAACTGAAAAGCTGACATAGCATTCTATGTTGACTAAATGCATAAATATACTCATGACAATAACGGGTCTCAGCAGGGAAGAAGCCATGATCTCAGCTTCTAGTTCACTGCTCTCAATATCAGAGTCATACACTGACTTCTTCACTTATTCATTAATATTTATTGACAGTTTGCTATGGGCCAGGCCCTAGGGAAGCCCCTGGCAACACAATAATGAGCAAAACAGAGACAATTCCTGACAACATTTCCTTATGATTTCATCAATAAATTTACTTTTGTTCAGTCACTTATAAGATAGGATTGTATCTTCTGTGTCAAAACATTTTATATTAATTAAGTGAACTGCTTCTCTGTAGCTATTCTAGCAATTTAAACACAAAGTTATCTTCTCCTGGATCAAGCAGATTTTTTCTTTTTTATTTATCATATTCCTCCTACTTCTGATTTTGTGTAGATAAATGGCTATACATTTATGTGAAGTCTGTGTCTTCTGGACTGTTTGAAACAGACAGCTCTCAAGCTGGGTCACATACTAACCCACACTGAAGTCCACTGCTATGGACTGATGCTAATTTACCCTTTATCAGAAGACAAACCTCAAAAAGTCCACTAGGTCTTACCTTCTTCCACTGCGATGGTCTGTTCTGAGGCTGGTGATGGAGGTGGAGAAGGAGGCAGATTAGCTGTTTCTTCAGCTGCTAAAGATCAAATAGTGGAAAAATGAGATACAGTTAATCCTGTTAGGCCGTTAGATGTGCAACAGCTCTGCCATCTGTAAAAAGGTCTCTCTATGAAATTTAGGAAAAGATTCACTAGTAAGCTGCACTTGACTTATTTTCTGTTCCATTACCTGATTCACATAGTTTAAAAAACCTAAAAGGAAAGAAAAGCATTTAATATTTAAAAAAAAGTCATTTTGTCTTCCCTATAAAAATGGATTAAAGATGCCTGCTAAGGTATCATTAATCCCATTAATTGTGTCTGCTTGTTCAATTAATAAACTATTTTATTCTGGCCCTAATCTACTGTATTCAAACACACAGGCAAGCATTGTAGTTTGGATTTAGCTTGACTGACTGAAAAAAATATCAGAACTCTATATTGTTCAACTTCTTGGTCCGGAAACAAATGTAACCTTCATCAGTCACAGTATTATAGGTGATGTATTTTTTAAACAACGGTTGGTCCACTGAGTCTAATGTCAAAATGCATCTTCTGTATGTATTCTCAGAAAAGAAAAATGAAGCTGTCACAACCTAACGCAACCTTCAAACAGACAATATGTACTAGTGGGAGCCGAGTAATCTTCTGGCCTTGGCATTATACATGAGAACCAAAGACAAAAGTTCTAAATGATGTCATTCATCCACAGTTAACTCTTTTTTCTTGACCACTCATATGAAGGTAAGGAACTGCAAAAAGGAAATATTTATCATCAAGGCCAGCAGGAAAATCTATTTTACAGAGCATGTGTTTTTCACTCTCAAAAAGCAGCTTTGGGATGACAGGTGACTTCTTAGTTCCTTGACCCTGTGGGTTTCTATAGAACATATTTTAAGGCTTCAAATTTAAGAAAGGGGGTGTTTTTTATTTAAGGTATAGAAGTGAACCACAAACTGAAGGTTAATGTTTTGAATAAGATAATTTTCCCCCTGTTTAAAGAGAAAAATAAACCTTTATAATCAAAGAACATTTTACTGCAAATAATGAGTATTTATTATCCTGGAGAACAGAATTTTTATTGCTTAATTTTTTTAGGTGTTTAAATTGCTTAAAGGAGTACTGACCAGAAAATCAAATATTAAGGGTACTAGACTGTTTGAGACAAAATTGGATATGTACTCTTTTTTTAGACTTTAAAAACCATACCTTTCTATGGATTAGTTAAATATACCTATAAAATAGACATATGTTGAACCTAAGAGAGTTTCCTTTCTTGTCTCTGCCTGTATATACACCACATCTATCTATCTTCTATCTATCTATCTATCTATCTATCTATCTATCTATCTATCTATCTATCTAATCTATCATCTATCTATCAATCGTCTATCATCTATCTAAAGGAGGGGCAGCAAGCCTTTGGTTAGGAGTGTTTTCTTCAGCAAGCACAATTATATTACCTGTTTGGTCCTGGAGGGCATCTGACTTGTGACCGAGAGAGAGAGAAATGCTATCTCAATGCCCTTAAATAGACCAAGTGAAGGCTAGTACATTATATGGGATACAAAGTCCCTCATGATTCTAACAAAGCCCCGACTATAGGTTTTCTGTAGCTGGTTCAGAGGGACCCAAACAAACGAGACAAGCATTCCCCAAAACCCACAAAGGGAAATACTTATTTCTAATTGAAGTATTAACACTTTTTCTTTACAAGTGGGTGCCATGACATCAATATGCATTGGCTTTATTTTTGTAATAAATATCTCTAGAGGTCTGGAAATGAAAATTTAAGAGAAATTTAGGGGTAAAGTCTAACTATAAGCTTATCACTGTGAAGACTGTCCAAATACTACGAATGAGCCTGTCAAAAAAGGTGAAAATAGGTGCCAGGGTCTCCCAACAGAGGTGTCTGATGAATGTTCCATGTAAGGATGAAGTATGAGATAGGGCCTCTCTTTGACCATGAAGACTTGGTCCTGCGATCAGGGTGCAAGCAGATACAGCTCTTGAACATTTACCTAAAGGCAGAGCTGCAGGCTGATCTTTCTGTTGAGCTTCTTTCTCTTGTTCACCTTTCAGGACCGCTACAGCCTCAGCCGTGACTACTTGAACTATCCTTGCAGACACTTCCTCTGTAATAAATAGTAACAAAAGAAAATAAAAGAGTGAGATGTCCAAAACAGGTAGCAAAGAGGAAAAGTAATGAAACAATATAGTTGACTAGAATTTTCTTTTCTGTCTTCCCCCAAAAAAGTACAATAGAATTTACTAAATTGCAGCTAAAACACAAATACATATATTGTAACCAAAAACAGAAAAGAAGAAAAAAAGAAAAAAAAAAAAGAGGAAATAAAAGGGACTGGCATTCTGGGAGCTAGGCAAAATGAACACGGAATGAAAGAAAAATAATTTGTATGGCAGTTTATTTTTAAAAGCTGTTTATACAAACAGAAACAATTAAAAATTTTGTACCAAGTAAAACAAATTCAGAAAAGAAAAGATTCATTTTGGATTTAATATAAAATGTTTTGTAGTTTTCTAGAAAAGTTTCCTTACAATATGTTTCTGTGCTGATTTGCAGAAATACCATAATTTAAAACCTAAAGAAGATGCCTCAAAATGTGAATCTGTGATCAAACAGCATTATCCAGGATCAATGTGAACAAGACCAATTAAGAAAGACCTGGGAAGAGAAAATTTGAATGAAATACACGGAAATGATGTATCAGATGGCCTCTTTCTAAAGAGCTACTGCTTTTCTAGATAGCAGATGTTTTAAGGATCTTTAAGGCCATATGATATACACTTACCTAGTCAGTGTAATCATTTCATTAAAAAGTGGGGGGAGGTTCATCATTAAAATGACCAGTCTGTGAGATGCCAGATAACTGACTTTTTAAATAGCTACTTGACTATATCTAAATCCTCTCATTTTGTAGATGAGGATGTAAAGGCTAGGTTATGAGATTTGCTCAAGTGCACGCAGCTGATGGAGGCAAACTGAGATTAGAACCCCAGTTTCCTAACTATTATGCTGTTCTTTCTCCCAAGCAGGAAAACAGCAGAAGGAATAATGAGAAAACAACCATAAACTTCTCTAACAGTCATGTGAGAATGATCAATGGAAAAATATGAACTTTTCTAAAGGTATGAACTAAGGCAACATATTCACTCTCAGATCTGCTGTCTACCTAAAGTACAAAACTGCTAGTCTTGAATATGTTTTGAGACTATGAAACAAGCAACTGACCACAACTGAGCAATACTATATATATATCCATGCATGTATGTATGTACCTATCTATTATCTATCATCTATCTATCTATCTATCATCTATCTATCCATCCATCTATCATCTATCATCTCTATCATCTACCCACCTACCTATACATCTTATAAAGTTAGCTAGTGTAATAGATAACTTACCTCACTTGCATATATTAATTTGCAATGAAATTCAGACATTTAAAAAACCAATAAAATGATTTTTAGCACTTCTAGAACCTCAGTGTTTCATAGGAAATTCAGTGTAATGGAGAGGTACAGCAAACACTGCAGAAAATGGGACATACATAAAACCCATGTATTTTATGGATCATTCCTGCATTTCCCTGCTGGCATTGACACAAAATATAATCTCTCCTATGGCATTTGGTACATCTGGCATGGAATTGTGCTGGTACACATGCCTTATCTCCCTGGCTATGTAAAGTTTCCCAAGTCAAGGACTCTCTCTCTATCATTGTTGCAGTCTCGGAATGTAATGCTCCTCTCCTTGACCTTTACTCAGATTGGTTGCTTAACACAACTTTTTGAAAGTATGAAAAATTAACATGAAAGGTCTTGTTCGTGGTATTTACACAAATTTAGAAATAATCCATGCTCAGTATTATATTTACTAACTTAACCCCCCAATTAATCATTTACTGAATTCTTATTTAAGTTTTGATGTTTAACCATCTCTTAAATGAGGGTCCCAGATTCTTGTGTACCTACTGATCAATTTTTCAGAGTCCGAGAATGCTTAACATGAATTAAATTTCTTAAATTGGGAAAAAATCCAATAAAAATAATAAAAAGCATCTATTGGTTTATGTGAACAAATTATAACTGAGCCATGCTACATTATTTGTCATTTTGTTTGGAATTGCATTTAGAATAATTCTGACACCTCAGACAATTAGTTTATCTGTTGTGGGCTAATAAGAAGAGAACAGAGTGAAAATTATACAATAAAAAATGCATTCACACAAGATGTAGGCCAAAAACCATCATGGTACACTATACAACAGACTTTCAGAATATTCTACAGGCAAGGGAAGGAAAAATTGAATCATTACTTCTCTCCAGTCAGAATGGAATGGGCATGTCCAACCTAAATAAAATGTACTGTATCAGCCAGAACCACATTTTTTGTGAGTGATAATTTAGTTTCAATAAAGCAATACTATTTATTTTACATGCTAAGTAGTAGGACATTTGAATTTAATTGGTTTTGTTGTTTCAAATAAAGTTCATTTATAGGTGTGTTTGAGTTTCATAGTTGAATAAGAACTTATGAAGAAGGCAATTTTATTTTACTTTAAGCAAAACTTATAAGATAATAATTTACCTCAATCTTGGGAAAATTAACTATTTTTCCTTAAAAGGATTTAACAGACTTTAAGAAATGCTATTTTAGAATGATCAAACAGGGTGTGTGGGAGCCCTGTTAATGACATATTATCTTCAATTTTTTTGGAGAGAATAATATTGCTAAAACTTCAAACAGGCAATGTTGATTGTTTAATATTAATTTTGCAGTGTGAAAAAAAATTAACATAGGATTGTTCTGAGGGTTTCAATTGGTCCAGCCTCTTTAAAATCTTCCTCTAAGCAAAGCCTGCCATTAATGCAGAGGTGGCAGCTTCCCCCAAGGAGAGATGGCCTTTTCCCAATGGAAACCTAATCAGCAGATCTCCTGGGGTAAGCTTTACCCTTACAGCCTGGCTCCTGGGAGAGGAGAAAATTCACACAGGGTTTGGGTAGAGTTCAGAGAAGATTAATGGTAAACACGCCAAACAAAGAAGACAAAGAGAGTAACAAAATCAGACCTACGAAAATGATAACATAAGAGTTATGATATGTGTGTATGAGATCTCTCTCTCTCTCTATATATATAAAATCACTCATCCTAACCATTTAACCATTCTACCTGCCATCCATTCAACCATCCATCTATCCATCGTATCTTTCTATACAGGAGATCACTGTTTTTTATATTTTAAGTTAAAGGAAGTCACATGGACTTTAATTCAGAGAAATGTGGGTACAAACTCTAGCATTGCTACATTCTACTTATTTCATACTCAAACTCATTGGGTTTCAATGCCTCATCCATGAAATGGAAATAATAATAGCCCGTCTCACAGGTTGCTGTTCAGACTCAATTGAGTAATTATATAACAGGCCTGGCACATCAAGGAACTCAAGACTTGTAAATAATTCTTCACCAAGGTCTTTCCCCAGTCCTACATTCTTTCAGGTCTTCTACCTTAGTATTTCTGCTTTAAAGAAAGAGCAACTAGGGGCGCCTGGGTGGCTCAGTCAGTTAAACTTCCAGCTCTTGGCTTCGGCTCAGGTCATGATCTCAGGGTCCTGAGATCGAGTCTTGTGTCCAGCCCCATGTGGGGCCCATGTCAAGCCCCGAGTGGAGCCCCATGTCACACCCATGTCCAGCCCTGCATCAAGCCCCATGTTGGGTTCCATGCTCAGCACAGAGTCTGCTTGTTCCTCTCCCTCTGCTCCTCCCCCCACTCTCTCTATCTCTTTCTCTCTCAAATAAATAAATAAAATCTTAAAAAAAATAAAGAAAGAGCAAGTAAAGGTCCAACCCAACTAGGCTATTACTCTTATGAACATCAGATAATATAATCTTCAATCATCTATGCTGATGACAGGGACAGTGTTTTGTTTTTTGTTTTTTTCCTAGACAAAACTAGAGGGAAGTAAAAACTTTCCTTGTTATTTGTTTTCTGGCTTCATACTCATTTTCCTGGCTGTGTAGGTCCCAGGCTATGATCTGCTCTAGATTTCTGCTAGCAAGTTCCAATTCAGGACCATCTTCTGGACAGCACTCCCAAAGGCATGATAATCCCTGTCTACTCCTGAGGACAATTAGCAACATGAAAAAATCTTTTGAGGTAAGAGATTAATGTACATTTTAATTTTTCATTGTTTGTTTTTTCTACTTCTTTATTCCCTTTTCTACTCTAATTTTTTGTTATTTTTTCTTTGAGACATTATATGTATAAAATTATGTGTAGGACTTAGTTCTTCAGAAGATTAAAGATGAATCTAGATTACACTGGGATTATTACTGGGAAATTATTCATTATACATAACTGAAAGGTAACACTGATCTTCACAGCTGGAAACATTACACTTCTTAGTGTAAACTGAAATTATGAAAGGCTCAGCTGTCTTTCTTTTGAACATCTATAGTTTTCTGGTAGTGGGCATTTTTAGTTTATGTTAAAAATTGTCCTAGTTAAGGAGTGTTTGTAGTATGTATTTTACTCTCTCTCTTGGTAATGTTAGGTTCTCAATGTAATTAACTAACAGTAGTTTTTGCATTGCAGTGAGAGCCAGTATTTGAATATTATTATTTTTCAGTAGTGTCATTACAGTAATGAGACAGTTTCTGTTAAGTAATACAAAGATATCTCATGACATGGTTCTAAACTCATATCATGTCTAAGTAAAGTTCTAAACTCATATCACGTCTAAGACATATCATGTCTACCAGGAACTCATATGGTAAGTAGTCTGCCTATAAATCAGTTTGCAGGAAAACATTAAAAGCAACTCATTTAAAACAAATTCATCTAATAAAAAGTATTGTTGACTATAGGCTGATATAAAATAAGGGATTCAGATACAACCCAGGTAACAGAGCAGAGGTGGTAACAGATCATCGCTATATAGATAAACACCTAAAAGTATAAGTGAAGTCTGTCTTGAAAACTTATTCTGGTCAATGGAGATGGGGTCAGTATTCTGAAAACAGTATCAAAGCAGTCCTTGATAGATAAAGTGAATTCTGGAAAGAAATATTTTTTTCTTGGTATTGGGGAAATAAATTGGTACAAA